TGTATACTGCGAGCTCTACGGCTCTCTCACTAGAACATCCTAGAGCACATAATGCCTTGATGTCCTATCCAAGAAACTTTGAGGATCTGCTAAATTATCAGAACCTATGAATTTTGGTGATTTCAATTTCAGGAACTCTTGTAGGGATACTTTCTTATTCCTGAAAGTCTGAGTCTGTGCAGGTGCTTGTGTCTGTAAAGTAGCCTGAGGAGCTGAACTTTCACCCTGAGTAGGCACCAATGCCTCTAACACATTGAATAATCTTGCCACTGCGTCTGCAGGTAAGGCAACAGTAGGCACAATAGTTGGCACTAGTGGTGGAGCATCCTGAACTTCCTGCCCTTGCATTTGATCTTGTATAGCAGCTTGGGGCTGACCCATGTTTTCAATTTCAGGTTGAGGGGCAGCCTGTCTTCTAGTTTGATGAACACCAACTTGACCGCCACCCCGGGTAGCACCACGTCCAGCAGATGAGGGTGTGCGTGTCCTATCCATCTGCGAAAGAAATATTCCAAAGTCAATCTCAAGTTATCTCAATGCACGATCAAGAATGAAAGAAGGAAAAACATTTCTAGATGTTCAGTAGCCTCAAGATCATAAGTATGGGCGCCTACATACCCATGAACAAGACTCTACTAAACATTGCTCCATGACTCGGGACATAAAGCCTAAGCTCTGATATCAACTTTGTCACGACCCAATATAGGATCGTGACCGGCGTTTAGGAGTAAGTGCTCCCAAGTAAGCCTCATCGGTATTTTACAGAAAATCGGGCAGAGTTTTCTCTGTTTTTGGATTATCCAAAAAATTTTCCTGTCTCAAAATCAACAACTAACCATCCTAATATCAAATCAAACAATCGACAACTTATCAATTAACCAAAGCAAGTCTGCACCATTACTAATCAACTCACTAATAACCAAAAATACTAATTTATCTCCAACTTAGATAATAAAAAAACGATACTCAACATAAGACTATAATAACAAAAGAATACTCATGATACTAAAATATTGACTATGGAGCGACTCTAAGATTTCAAAGAAAGACCATAACAATAAATAAAATCTTCGCCCACGCGAACAAGTGCGAGGCTCACCAAGAACTATCAACTTGTGCGCTCTAATTAACGAAATCTCCCCCCGCGTCAGTTGTTGTCTCTGTAAAATAATTTAGCGGGGAATGAGTCGCTAGCTCAGTGAGTAATAACACTTAATCACAATCGTTTTTATTGGGGACAAGTCAAAAAATATGCTAGTATCTCAAACAGAATATAACATAAAAATAACATAAAGATTTCCTTTCAGAAATAATAAATAATTTTCAGTCTCATCATGTTTTCTTGTAGTATAATACAATTAACAATTCAGTAATAAGTTCGTTAACTACTGTATAATATCAATATTCACATTTGGGAGGTTTCAATAAACGGATCATGTAATCGGTATAACTGTGGAGTTCTTCGCAATAAGTCAAATATAATGGCAATCCCTACTCGAGGAAAATCGGTAACGGTATGCTAGTTCTGCCTTCTTACTAGCGAGGGTTGTAACAGTAATCGGTAATTACAAGATGCACCAGGTCTAACGAACCCGCCGTTAGCTACGGGATCCTTCAAAGTCTACTCCCATTTATACTTGTCTTTGTAATCCGTATATACTCGTAGAAAATATTTTAAAATAATATACGGCATTTCGGTTCTTATCAAATCATATAATTTCATTTCGATAACAGTAAATTCATGTAACGGTAAAACAGATCTAGTGATAACGAAAATATTTAAAACTACGGTAATCATCTCAATTAACGGTTCCGGTATCATATCGAGTAAAAGACTTGTCCCACATGCAACTCAAAAATAATCAGTAACATATTCATATTAAAAATCATGTGTAAATCATGCAAGTTATGAAAATATAAATTGCGGTAAGATTACTACTCATAGTACTCGTGCCGAAATACCAAATGCTTCACCTCGAGCAATTTGTACAAATTCCTCCAATCAATCTATAATTACATAATATCGATCTAATCTTAATTGCCTCATTTAGGCTAAATCCATCACTAATTTTGAATACCCAATCCTCCGAGTTTTATATTTTATCATTAATTCGCCGAATTATATTTACCCATGCTATGAGTAATTTAAATTAGTCCAAAATCTTTTAAATAAAAAGGTATTTATATGGTTTATTCCCTATATTGTTTAATTTCCTTAATCGTGTGCATAAATTAAAACTGAAATAATATTACTGTCCATAATATTCCTTCTTAATTGGTACTTATCTTTTGTACTCAATACTAGACTTACCACATTCAAACCCAAATTCAATATTATAATTACAATACAGTTAAACACCAAAACTTAATCCTTGCACCCTAACTTAATTTACAACTAACAAAGATCATATATAATGAGACTAGTTTAAGTACAAATACATCAATACCCTTCTTTTTTCAAGTGAATTTATCCTATAGTAACATTGTCCAACTTCCAATTGCATAATTTGCCCAGAATAGCTCTTATTGGTATTAAATTTTTTATACCTTGTGAAACCCTTCAAATATATGAACTTAGATAGAAAGAATTACCAGAAAAAAAAGAACCCAGATGAGAAATTCGAGTATTACCCGTAAGAACCAGTGCGTATTTAAAATTTCTCAAGGTTTGGTTCCAGCTTTCTTCTTCTTCTTCTTCTTCTTCTTCTTCTTCTTCTTCTTCTTCTTCTTCTTCTTCTTCTTCTTCGAATTTTTTTTTTCTAGAGTTTTCTGAAGTTTCTGCTTAGACCCTTTTCCCCTTTCTTTCTTTATTTGTTTTTGTTGTTTTCACTGAATGGGCTTCGGCCCTTTATTGAATGTTTATTCTTTTTTTTTGTTTTTTATAGTTAGTTTTTTTTTTTTTTTTATTATTATTATTATTATTTTACTAATGACCAATACACCCTTATTAAAAATATAGGGTATTACAGTTCCTAAGCTCTTATTTCTATGACAAACAAGTGATTATATCGATGCTGTCCCTTAACATGAAGATTTAAATTTTGTTTGATCTATACTAAACTGAAAATAGGAATTTTTCCCCAATAAAATAGTTGCGGTTGATATGGTGATGGAGTCAGCGGCCCGGTGGTGGTAGTGGCTTAGAGGGAGGACAGAAAGAGAATTTTTTTTTTAAAATAATGCTTTTTTCCTTTTGTTACCGCATGTACTTTTGGCTCATATTAATGGCTTTATATATGCGGTCCACCCTCTTAAAATAGGTGTGAATTACGCCCAATGACATGTCAGTTATACGTGTCTAAATGGCAACCTTGTTAAAGTGTTTAGATGGAACAAACTTAAGATAAAGTGTCAAAGTGAAAAGTGTAAAAAATTTTAAGCGTATTCTGCCTTTGTTAAAAAAAGAACTTAAAGAACACAACTCTCTCATTATCATTCGATCACATTCAAACAAAAAAAAAAAATGAAAGTAGTAGCGTAGACGTGGAGAATGGGGGAGAAAATATCACAATTCACATGGAGAGTTCTTTCTCTCTCAAGTCAACTAGTTTAACCCGTTGGCTACAGTGTTGAAATCAATCAGAAGATGGTCCTTTATCTTTTTTTATTTTTTGGTAAAACAGTGAAGTATTACCATTGACAATCAAATGTTTACACCTAATGAGCACTTCAGAGAGATCTCCAAAGCCTCGAATAAGGAAAAACATCACTCAACTAATTACATAGTTGCTGCCTCAAATAACTAGATCTACTTGCTTTCCTAGAGTATTTCAAGTGTTCTACCCTCTCTACAATCTCTTTCTTTATCTGCATAAACACAACCTCAGTATTTATATTTATCCCTCTAAAAAGTTTCCAATTTCGAGTCTTCCATGTGTGGTAGAGCTTTGCACCCCATATTAATGCTGCTAATTCCTTCTTGAACTGCTTCTAATGTCTGGTTTTGATCCATTTCATGCATTGAGTTGTCCCTTTCCTCTGCATTCTGATACCCGACCACATTTTCAGTTCATCTTGCAATTTCACTGTCCAACTACACTCAGTAAAGAGGTGTAACTGGCTTTCAGCCTTGTTCTCATCACATAAGCAGCACATTCCATCATCTACTGGTATATGGAGTCGGATCAACCTCTCTTTTATTAACAACTTCTCTGGATTAGCGAACCATACTATAAACCTATGTCTAGGTAGCATAATGTTGTTCCATACTAAATCAGCTTTTATCATTTTCTCCATGCTTCCCAGTAAGCTAATATAGCTTTTACTGACAGAATATGCACCATTTGTTGTTAAACAATAGGTGCCATTATTGTACCAATTTGTCATAGCTACTTTACTGGAATTAAGCTTCCTCTAGTACCAGCTGCTGTCAACGGGTGGAGTGTGAATCCAGATATCGTGGTTCTCTCTCATATACACTCCATGTACCCATCTAATCCATAGTAAAATAATTTTTGTGTAACAAAAGAAAGAGATTTTTGGATAATGAACACAAAGTTGAATGACTTTTACGTAACAAAAGAAAGAGATTTTTGGATAATGAACACAAAGTTGAATGACTTTTACGTAACAAAAGAAAGAAAAATGACTTTTGGGTAATGAACACAAAATTGAATGACCACACATGAAATTTACTCCTACAATTTTGAATGATTTTCTTAATAAATTATCTTATTATCATGCATTTAGCTACATACTTATGTAATTTTAAAGTATCACTTATCTAATAAACTTTTTCTTCTTGATTTCCAATTAAAGGAAATTATTTGTGGTGAGATCGATACAGTAGGAATTGACCAACATAAAGTATGTTTATATTACAGAAAGGAAACTTCCCCTGAACACGAAGAAACATTAAGGAAAGACAAAATTAGAAAAGAAGGCAAAATTTCCGCTATTTAAAAATGTAGCCAATGAGATGCAGCCGTACACAGGCATATTTGTTCCAGCTAGCAGCTGATTGCAACCTATAAATTTAGTTCTATGCTATATTTACTCCACTGACATATTTCCACCAAATTTAGTTCATAGATCACATTCGGACAAGCCAAAGCTACTTTGAAGTGGAAATGACAAACGTACCCTCAGTTCTTAGCCATATTTTCCTCTGCGTGTCCTAATCAACAACTGCAACTAAAGAAGCTTCAAGATCCATTTACAGTTTTATACTTCTCATTCTTTTTTGCTAATACTCAGCTCTATAAAGCTGTTTAGCTTCGTGGGTTCTCTTCAAAATCTTGATTTTTCATCTTTGTTTGGAGATATAGCTTGATTTGTCTGTTGCTATAAGGTCTGTTTTACAACTTAATGTTCATTCTTGGTGTTCATATAGATGGTGAATAGGTTGAAGTTGAGTTCTTTTGGCCATTTTAGGCCTAAAGATTTGAACTTTGGCAAGTTGAAGCATTGTCAAACTTGGATTTTTCATTCGTTCAATAGGGTCCTTGTAATTGGATCCTTATTATTGTTGTTTCTTGTGGCAATAGGGTCTGGTTATTTCTACAATACAAATTCTTTTCCACAACCAATTGTTCTTGAAAATGCAGGAGATAATAGAACAAATACTAACTTTAGTGGTGAATGCAATTTATTTGTTGGAAATTGGGTGCCTGATGAAAGTTATCCTTTGTACAATGCATCAGAATGCCCATTTGCTGAACAAGGTTTTAGTTGTTTAGGTAATGGTAGGAAGGATAAAGAGTATCTCAAGTGGAGGTGGAAACCTAGGAATTGTGAAATTCCAAGATTTGATGTTCATGTAATCTTGAAAAATTTAAGGGGAAAAAGGATTGTATTTGTTGGTGATTCATTAAGTAGAACTCAATGGGAGTCCATGATATGCATATTGATGACTGGTGTTGAGGACAAGAATAGCGTGTATGAAGTCAAGGGAAGGAAGATCACTAGACAGATTAGGCATTTACAAGTTCGATTTAGTTCCTTTAATTTTACAGTTGAGTTTTATAGGTCAATTTTCCTAGTACAGCCTGGATCGCCACCAAAACGTTCACCAAAGAGGATCAAGAAAGCACTAATGCTTGATAAGTTGGATGATATAAACAAGGAATGGATTGATTCCGATATACTAATCTTTAATACCGGCCATTGGTGGACTCCCACCAAGCTTTTTGAACTGTAAGTGATCTGGTCATGCTGAATTCCTTGTTCTTGAAGATGTTAGTTCTTATTTTGTGCAAGACTCTTTACTTTCATTTGGGGTTATGCCCTTGCTTACCGTGGTAATTTTCGTCGTGCTATATACTGCAAATCTCTTGTGCTAGAACTTCAGCTTGGAAACTTATCATTTATATATTTGCTTGATTAGGTAACATGATCTTAAGCTGGTAAAATAACTGATGATGTTACTGATCATCAAATAATTGACCTGTTTCTTTTTTATTTGATATAACCTAAGTCTAGGAGACATGTAGATTCGTCGCAGTTGTGCTTTGTAGTCTGAAAATGGACACTATGAAATTTTGAGAGTCTTCTTAAGCAGAATTTGAGATCTTGACCTAAGCAGTTAGAGAGATTGGAGTGTCCTCACCAAATCCACATCATATCTAACTAGAGAATCTTACATCACCCAAGTTACCATCTTCTTGTGAGAAGATATGTTTTACTCTTTTCCATGTGAATCTTTGTTACCTTTACTTATTTCTTGTTGGGAACAAAATGTTTGTTCGCTTCCTGGTTCTCCTTGTATCTCCTTTAGATGCATGATGATGGTCATTCTGATTATAACAACCGCTTACGGTATAAAAGCTTCTTAACCCAGTCTCTCAAGTAGCGCACAACTATTCGTCATTTATCATGCCAACCTTTTAAATCAGTTTTGTTTGATAGAGTTGGTCATTTCCTGATAATGAGAATCAGTCTCCTTGTCACAAAATTAACACTTTCAAGGTAAATGAAAATATCCCCGACTTACGCATCTGAAGTTGCCTCATGGCCTATATTATGTAACAGGACTAGTGGGGCTATTCTCATTTCATTTGAGCTTTTGCAACTAAAGCTCAATTATTTGATAATAGTTCTTAGTTCAACATGTGCCTAAGACTACTATTATCTAGATTTTGAAAATTTTATGTTCACTGTCATGCTAAATATCCGTAAATATAACTAGGAAAGTTAACTTAGATCTTCTACATAATACATGAGTTGCAAATAAGGGATGTCTTAATGCTTGTTCAACATCATTATGCGGCAAAACTTGATAAAAAGATCCCTCACCGTAATGAATACATTTCCATATCTGTAGCTTCGGTTGTTAAAGAATCGATTTGTTATGGATAAAAGTAGGCCTTCAGATTTCAAATGCCTAGTAAAGGGATCATACTAGATAGATTTTCACAATTTTGATTTACTCTGCTCACATGCGTGATTGTGTGTGTGAGAGAGTGAGTTTCCATCAGACAGTGTAATTATGCAAGAAATTGAACTACTTCTCCTCTTACTTATCAAGTACTTTAAGATGAATTCGATTACAGTTAAACCCGTGGGGCTTTATGTGTTTTACGTGCTAGTAAATGCTTTCTGAAGATACTCCACTATTCTGCACTTTTTATGGCGAAGTTACTTTACCAATTTGTCCACAGAACTCTTCTGACATGCTTCTTCAGACAGGGGCTGGTACTTCCAGATTGACGGAAAGATGAAACTCGGAATGACAATAAATGGTGCCTTCAATAAAGCCTTAACTACTTGGCAATCTTGGATCGAAAATAAGATCAACTCTGATAGAACACGTGTATTCTTTCGGACTTTCGAAGCTACTCATTGGAGGTATGCTCAATTTACTACTAATATAATGTGTTGGTATCCTTTGTCTTGGCTTTTTTACTTCCTTAAAAATTACTGTCTAGGCTATAGTTAGAGGGCAATTTGTCCGATAGTTGGATATAATTTGAGTAAGAGCTGTTTATTCTCCACTTGTATCTCTTTTCTAAATTTGATGAGAGCCTTCTTATGCTTGAATCAGTGCTGGACCCCGTGAAAAATGCAACGTGACACGACAGCCCTGGTCGGACACCAACGGCAAGGATAAGAGTGCATTTTCGGACATGATAATTGATACTGTGAAAAATGCAGCAATCCCTGTGACACTGCTGCATGTCACTCCGATGGGGGCATACCGAAGCGATGCACATGTTGGTAATTGGAGTGACAATCCATCAGTTCCAGATTGTAGCCATTACTGCTTACCTGGTGTGCCTGATATGTGGAACGAACTTCTTTTTGCCTTTCTATTTTCGGAACAGCAATATCAGATTCATTAGCTTCACGATTATATGCAAGTACGTTTCCTGTTCTTTTCTCTTTTCCTACTGATTCAATATTTCTCGGAATATCTGTTAGTTAAGTATTCGGGCTTGAACCCGTTGTCCTCTGTTCGATAGTTTGATTTCAACATTTGTTTACATTTTCTGCAGATTTTATTCAACTTGATTACCTTTACCACACGAAAGTCTTGGTCATTGTGAGCGAAAGAGGGGCCGCCGTGGGGGAGAGATTGAATTTTTTTTAAATTCTTTTTTTTGTGTGTATGGTGGTCTACATAAACAGTGATGATTCCTATAGCCGGTCTCAAAGTAATTGAGATTAAGGCATAGTAGTAGTTGTTGTTTATCGTGTGGTGCTTCGAGAGAGCTTGTACTCTAGCCATTTATTAGGAATACGAAATTTGATTTAGAGGAAAACATGCCAAGGTGCCGTAATGGTCTGTGTGTACAATTCGATCTGTCAAATCGTCTAAAAGCAATTTCTTTAACATTGTTAATGATTTCATAATTTCATTAGGCAAGAGAGAAACAATGGTGATAGCAAAATTTCAATATGAAAGAATGATGATGATTCGAGAAAAAACTTAAATCACTCACCCAAGAAAGGCAAAGATGAGAAAAAAGAATTTCACTCATTGCAATTAGTTAGTCGATAATTTTGTATTAGACTTACATCGTTAAAAGCTGGAACTGAGTTCTCCGTCTTGGGAAATTAGGGATTAACAAAACGAATGTATGTAATCATTTGTTCATACATTAAGGAACAAAATGATATGTATGATGGAAGGGATATTAAAATCCATGCACGCACATAGTTCGGTTAATTTAGTGTGACAAAAAATAGTTTCGTAAAATTTATTAGTATTATATTATTTAGGGGTGTTCAAATAACCAGAAAATCACACACAAACCGATAAGTCAAATTAGGTTTGGTTTGATTTGGTTTGGTATTGAGTAAAAAAATCTGAACCAAACCGACATATGAATATATAATTTTTATATTTATTTTATAACTTTATATAGAATTCTCTTTAAAAAATATTTAGAAATTTGGGATCCTCTCATGGGATGTAATATTTAATAGAATTATGAAGTGCATTCATTTTTATGTACTTTAAATAATGGGTTGTATCATCACTTTCTTATCAAGTATTATTGAAATGCGTCAATTTCTTTGTTCTTTCATATTCATATGTCAAGATTTGTTAATTTCTTATATCTTTTTCGAATTTGAAATGGTATTTATTTTAAAATTAAATAGAACATATCATTATTTAAGATTCATATTGATTGGTATAATTATTAAATTCGGTTAACCTTGAAAGTGTACGTTAAAGAAAAATTATCGTTAGATGACTAAGAAAATAATTATCGTGTGTTAATATAAGAATTCTCTTACAAGAATATTTGTATGATCATATGTTTATCAGTTTTTAAAAATTTTACTAAACAAATATTTATTAATCAAAATTTTATCTATAACTTTAACAAAGTAAGATTAAATAATATTCATGTAACAAAAAATCTGAAATCCCAAAAAAATCGAACAAATCCAAACCGATATAATTGGTTTGATTCGGTTTGGATAAAAATCAAACCAACCCGTTCCATGTACGCCCCTATTATTACTTAAAAGTTTAATTACTTTGATATGACAAGAAAATATTTTGTAGCTTCACTGTTATAAAGCGGATAAAATTTAATGACCATACATAAATCAAATCCATATTTTATATATCCTATGTAAACAAACTAATGCTGAAACAAATTGATCTACAGTTGAATATCCAACTAGCTATTGCCTATTATATTAGAAAAATTCTTACAAAGTGTATATAATTTGTTTGGCACTTCCATTCTTCAAGAGAAGTTGGAGAAGAAAAGAGCAATTGTTATTGGAAATTTATTTTGCACTAGAGTAGCTGGTAAATTGCTGGCAGAACAGAATAAGGAAGTATGTATTGATGTCTTTCTGTCATTTTTCTACGGGGCTACAAGAATCTGGCACAACTCTACCCTATAGAATAGAATATGTAAAATTGTTTTTCTCTGTATTTTTGCTTTGGGGCTAAAAGAAAATGGTGCAACTCTACCCTATAGAATAGAAGCTCTCTAAACCTTTCTTGTCAATGTCCCCTGTCTTGTGGTGTAGGACACTAGATCACTTAACAGCTAAAGAAAAAGTCATTTCTACTTCAATCAAAACATATATATTAAGTCTTCCTAAATCTTCACATGAGAGCCAAGTCTCTTCTTACTTGGAAGCATTCCCTAAATTAAAAAGAGAAAAAAAAAGACCAAGAGAGAGACAGATAGAGAAAGAAAAAAGAAAAACTTAAAATTCCATCCTCGTAAATAAGCAGAGTTATAGTACTTCTCTTCATCACCAACATCAAAAGGCTTCATATTAACTTCCCAAGATTATAACTATGGCTAATAATGTGAAAAATCGGATAACGTTAAATTTAGATATGGTTCTAATGGTATGCGAATCCCTTTGATACAAAATGACAATACAGGTATTTTTGCTATAAAATGGGAATGATGGACGGGAAGACTGAAACGAATTAGAAAAACAAGCACAATGAAATCTTAATGTATCTTGGAGAACTTGCCTCTATTGCAGTCTATCCCCCTTTTTATAGTAGAGGATAGCTGCTTTATCTATAACAACATAATAAAATAATGCATATAGTGGAGGACCCATGATGGTTTGTCTCTTCCTTGATTCTCGGTGCGATTGTAATGGCTCTTGTCTGCGAGCTTGGCACTGGCTCGAGCTCGGTGTTAGGTCGAACTCCCAGTCTTGGTTCGAGCTCGGTTCTGTCTTGGGACATCGATATTCGGGGTCCGTATCGATCGGTGTTGCCCCGTAGTTCGATTCGAACACGGGCTCGATAATGATATCTAGTTTTGCCATTTATAGCGCGAAGCTCGACGTCCCTACTTCGGAATCCGTCCAAGCTTGTCATGTGGATACCCTTCGATTGAAACGTCATTGTCTTGACCGGCCATTATGACTGAGAATCGGTTATGGCCGTACACAGATAGTCCCCTCGTTTCTTGGAAAGGATGTGGCGAGGAACGATATGATTTCGCTGCGGCTCGATCAAATTTATGCTGACGTTTCTATCGAACCCGATCTTGACGTATGTGATAGTTGTCCCATCGACTCGGTTTTACCGAAGCATTTAATGTGTGTCAAATGGTGGTCGGCCATCGCTGATACCGAACCGTCATGCCTTAGTCTATAAATAGTCTTTCCATACAACCTTTACCATTTTTGCGCCTTCTCTTCTTCCAAACTTTCTTATCTATCCTCTCTAT